CATGATATTTCCTTAATAACTTCTCAATTAATAACTTTAGAGTCAGGCTCGTAGTTAAAACTTCATAAAGTTAAGCGGGTAGGATTCCCCAACAGTAGGTTTCAGGCTGCATTTTAAGAAGCGTCTTGATTGTTCACATTTTTAGGATTATTTTTGTGACATGAATTTGAAGGTAACTGCCTACACCAATTAGTTCAGGTAAGTTATTAAAGTACAGAAATTTGGCACTGCCTCCCCAGTTAAATATACAAGCCTTGCATCAAGTCCTAACGTGCTTTCTAAAATCATATTTATTTTATAATTACTAGAATATAGTTAAAGCTAAGTGTGCATATATATTCATAGTATATGTACATATATGTATGTGTATAGTTTCGTAAGCTGGAAAAACCCTGACAAAGCGCTTGGTTACATCACTCAATACTGATTAACAAAATCTCTTAAGAATTTATTTTTCTAAGAATTTTTTCTGTAGATAATTTTACAATTTCAGAAATTTCTGCGTACTAAGAAATGATAGAATATTCTCAGTGAATGAGAGTGTGGGCAGGTTAAGTTCTACTTTTTTTTTTTTGAGAGTGTGCTATTATGAGGTTAGGCAGGTTTGAATGGTTGTCATTAAGCAAATTTCCTTTGTAAATTAATATGGTTGAATGTGCCAAGTTTCTCTAAACAATAAGGAGATTCTTAAGAAATTCTTTAGAAACTAATATACTTTTAAAAAAATACATATAAAATTTCACAATCAAATTTTAACTTCTTGAAGACTTTGACAAGTAAGGTTGCATTGTGCCAGGAGCTGTTGCTGGGACCTAAAATTAAGTGTGGTAGAAAAAAATCATTGAAGTGTTTGTGTGAGCAGGGAATTAACTACTCTCTTCCTAATTTGTCTTTGTGTCTCTGTGACTTTTTGGTCAAGTACAATAATTATTTTAAAAAAGGTTTGGGAACTCTGCAAGGTGTTGATATTTGATGAGCTGCATGACTAGCTGGACTTGTGGGAGGGATTCACATCCATGGGCTTTTGCACAGATGTCAGATGTCGCCCACAATGCACCAGTTTTGGGCTGACAGTAAAAATGCCATCTGTATCGAAAAGTGCCAGACAGAAAGTGCATGAATTTCATCGTACAGCTTATATGGTACTTAATATACTTTTCTGTGCTTTCTCACAGCAGGCACCAGGATTATTTATTGTGAGCAGGATTTTTCAAATGCTCCAAGAGTCTTTCTGTATCTATCTGACTGCTGACAGAAATGAGTTGGGAAGCTTGCTAAGCTTTTCTCTTAAGTTTTTGTTGGGGTCCAGGGGCCTGTGTTGGTATTTTAAGTTTTGCAGTAAATCATACTTAGAGCTGAAATGCCGAAAGTTAGAAGGACTTTTATAGAAAGCAATGGTTCCAGTGCTGTCACTATCCTGACTTCTTGGAGAGCATGTCACTGTCCTAAGCCACCACTGGAGTAACAGCCTCCACAGGATCAGTCCCAGGATTCTGGAAATACCTTGCTTTGTCTTTATTATGTTTTGACGTGAAAAAGAAAAAGCTTTCTAATTAGTTGAAGGCACATTTTGACCAGACTTTTAAAGCCATTTTAAACTTAAAATTTATAGACACTGTCCTGCAAGCATTTAATCAGTCTTGATGCTACTTTGGAATACTTAAGACAACATCAACACTTGCAGAAAAGACTCAGGATTAATCCTGGTGCTTTTTTAATCTCCACTAAGGCGGAATGTACATTGTCCTTTTCTTTTTGCCTTTTTTTTTTTTTTTTCTCAAATAGAAGATCTTCAAAAATAGGATCATAAAACAGTAGTCTTAATCCTCCTGACATTTTATAAATAGCTTCAGAAAATGCTTACTACCCAGAAAATGATTTATTTAAAATCTTTATAAAAAGTACAGTAGCAAAAGTACTGCACAAATGCAGGGATAATAATCATGCTACGACTAATCAGCCACTGTAGGTTTTGTGGTTGAACTGAAATGCATGAGGTGAAACTTTTTTATTAACTCCATCCATAGCTGTGCTTTGTTGTTGTAAGAAAATAAGGAAAGTAAATTGGAAAAATATCTTTCCTGGCAAAGGTCATGATCAAAACTGCCAAGTGTGGAAAAATTTCAATACAATCAAGTTCTCAGATTAATCCTTGCATTTTAAGCCTTTTTTCTTCCCTAATCCCATCAGCATTAGATCCTACAAGTTCAGACACTCAAGCAGAAGGAGATTTACTGAGTTTAGTTCTAAAACTGTACAGACTTCAGAGTCATAGCAAGAATATTCCCTGCCATAAAGTCTAACAAGTACATTCATTTAAAGCTCTTGTAAAATGTAGTTTTAACTGTCTGTTGGGGACAGTTGTGTCCTCTACCTTTTATGGGACAATTCCTGGCTGAAACTAAGGCTCACAAGTGTGCCCTCTTTCCTATAGATGTTTCTGAGGATTGCCTGGCATACCATCTCTTAATCCATCCTGTTTGTGCTCAGAGTTTTCATGGAGAACATATACTGTGGCTGTTACATGTATATACCCAAAGTCTAAAATTAGAATCAATGTCTTGTTTCTCAGGGCAGATTTTAGGTTATATTATTGATAATGATGGACAGGAACATTTATCTAACCTTAAGAATTTAATATTCGTTATGTATAGGAATCTAACTTGATTCACTTAAAGCAAAGACTTAGTCCTTTGAAATCTCATGTTTCCTATTACACGGTCCTGTTATGTGAAGAAGAACTGCTGGCAAGAAGAAATATTTGCGGCAGTGGGATCATACAGTGACCAGCCTTTGTCCTGGCATGCAGATGGGGAAGTATGAGCGATTGTCATCTTCCTGATACAGCAGTGCTGCACAGGAGCAAAGTTGAAATGGTGCTGTGGTCAGACAAGGTGGAAAAGTCAGTCACAGGTGACACAGGTTGGCTTGGAAACTCTGTCCCTTTGCTTCCGCCTGGTCAGAGTTCATCCCCAAGGAGAGCCAAAATCAGAGTACATGCTGCTCCCTTGGGAATATTTGCTGGCTGGCATCCTCCTCAGTTATAGGATCATAGAATCACTCAGGTTGGAATAGACCTGTAAGACCATCAAGTCCAGCTGTTAACCCAGCACTGCTGTGTTCACCACTAAACCACATCCCTGGGTGCCATATCTACATTCACTTCTGGTTGTCCTTCAGCAGGCTGGTAACTCCGAGGATGCATTCCCACCTTTCCATTTGTTTGACCATTTCAGCTTTCCTGAGGTGGTAGTTGCTGTATTCCTTTGGCACGTCTGAAAACGGGGGGAGGAGGCGCAGCTTTGCCCCATCTCCAATCTCAGTTTGAACAGCCGTGGCCAAGCCCAGTTTCTGCAGTCTGGAAATTACACTGCACAGCACAAAAGAGCGCAGTGATTTATACATCAACAGTCGCTTTTCTTGCCATAACATTTCATTGTTCTAGTTCCCTAAATCTGTAATTACATGTCTTTGTCCTGCTACATGCTGCTTCATAACAAATATAATTCTTACACTGGCTTTGTGAGTGAAAATAATCCTGCTCAATTAGCACAGATCATAAACTTGAATTGTGTGGAGCAAGCAGTTGTAAATGATGGATTCGAAATTTGGGGCGTTGCATCATCCTTTAATTTAGTGGGTTCTCTCCCACCAGTACTTCATGCTGGTGGCTCCTTTCGCCAAGCTGAGGTTGGAGGTCACCGACGCCTACAGCTTTGTTCTGCGTGGGCCTTGATACTCTAATTTAAAGTTTCCAGGAAGGCTGCCTGTGAATAAGCTAGATTTACTACGTGTGCTGTTTAAATATTAGCACTTGGAGAAGGGTGTTCATTAGACAGGAATTGTTTCACTTGGTTTTTCAGGCCGATTCTCCATTAAGGAAGATCTTTGGAAAATGCTGGCAGGCAGAAAAAAGAGGAAAGAAAGTCTTTTAGCTCTGTGCATTCGAGTACATTGGTTGTGTTTGTGGCTGTTGTTCTAAAACATGCACTTCTTGGCCTTAATTGAACAAATATGTCTTAATGGAGAGAGAAACAAACAAACCTGCTGTGGCTTTTGTCCTTGTGAGAACATGACTCCTCATTTTGTGCACAAATCCATACTATAAGTAATTATTTCTATTTTTCTTCCATGAAGAAGTGGTCATGTTTGCCTGTTAATTAATATGAGTAGGAAAGACAAAATACTGTGTCTAACTGCAAATATTAAAGCTCCCTGCCAGTTTGTGTAAGAAGTCTTCCCATACTAAGAAAAAAAGCACACCTGTCTTTAACTGCTAGCACAAAAAAAAAAAAAAAAAAAAAAAAAGAGCTAAATTAATGACAGTGGTGGTGGAATTTGTGAAAAGAAATCATTGTAGTGGAAAGGTCACACTGTCCTGGATATAAGTGTTTTTCTCAGAAGCATGTGTGGTCCATGGATCAGGTAGATCTCTGTCTATCACAGAGATCTGTAAGCATGGTTGAGTGTCTCATAATCCTTTGTGTTACATTAGTAATATTTATCAGCATGTTAATATATTGTAAAAGTCTTACATTTTTTCCTGTCCCACATGGCTGTTCAGTAGGGTTGAAAGATTATTTTTGTCATTCTGCCATATTCAAAATTAGCAAAATACTTGCAAGAATAGTAGAAATATTAGCGAAACAGAAAAACAGAATCACAGCTCACCAGGTATTGTATTAGCTGCCCTGCATGGCTAAATGCAGTGCAAGAAACAGAGATGCCTGTCAGAGAGAGATGTAAAATCTGTTAGTGTGCCCAAAACTGGGATAAGGACTAAAAGACTCAATCCATCTATAATTTCCAAGATCTAAATAAACATCTTGTTGATATTGAATCAAGCCCAAACTATTAAGATTTGGTTTGCTCAGTCTGTCATTTTGGTTTTGGAAACTGTAGTCCTGTCTGTTCACTGCAGTTGCTACTTTTCTGTGTGGGATTTTATTAAGTATCTCAAATTTTATCTTTTCTACCCCTTTTTTTTTCCTTCCTTTTAGATTCCTTCCTGGACAAGGATTGGTACTATATCCACAAATAGGAGACAAACTGGATATTATATGCCCAAAGGTGGACTCTAAAACTATTGGCCAGTATGAATATTATAAGGTCTACATGGTTGATAAAGACCAAGCAGATAGCTGTGCTATTAAAAAGGACAATACACCTCTACTTAACTGTGCCAAGCCAGATCAAGATGTTAAGTTTACCATCAAGTTTCAAGAGTTCAGTCCTAATCTCTGGGGCCTGGAATTTCAGAAGAACAAAGATTATTACGTCATATGTAAGTTCAAACTTTCAGTTCTAATTATTTTAAATATAATTGTTCGTTATTTTGCTGTCTTGTGTAGTATAAGCAAACTATGAATAGGTTTATGTATTTTTATCTGAAAATTATTTCTTGCCAGCCTATTTTCAATATTGTTCCTGATTTTCCAAGGGTCTCTGTCTCTTTTTTCCTTGGTTTGTGTAAACCACATGTGGTTGTACTTCTATGCCTGTATAAGGTTGATTTGTTTTTTGGTTTTTTGTTTGTGGGTTTTTGGTTTTGGTTTGTTTTTTTTTTTTGTGGATGATATTGTGTTCTGTATTTGCATTAGAAGTTGTGTGCAGCTAAACTGTGATGTGTTTCCTGCTCACAGCCCTGGTGATGTGCTGTTGGCTTTGTCCTTGGCTTCACTTATGCCAAGAGCAGGAGCACAGTGACCCAGCTGTTCTCAGATGAGGCATCCTGTGTGACGTGGCTAGCCATTGCTCCAGGTGCTCTGGGGACTCTCACAGGAAGCATCTTTTGGCCACTTTGGTGCCAATTTTGTCAGTGTAGTTTCCTCACAAGGGTTACTGGTAAGGGCCTGTAATTGAACATACTTTTCCTCAAAACATACCTATTATATCCATACAGTAGCTAGGAGAGTTCTTGGGTAAAACCTGGACTACCATAGTCTTGAATTTTATCCTTTTTCATGGTCCTGGCTTGCTAAACAAATATGCTTGGCACAGGCCTCTGTGCAGCAGTAGAAACTTTGTGTGAGTTTCTGATCAGGGATTTATGTCTGAAAGCAAGTCTGGAAGTAGCCACTGTGTTCAGTGATTCAAATTACTTATGATGTGTGAAGTTAATGATGTGAATCAGGAGCTAGCATAAGCTGAGACCTCAGCAGTAAAACAACAATTTACATTAGTTTAGGTTTTGTCATTGTAATATTATGCCCTGTGGATCTCATTTAGCCCCACGGGCACTTTTTAAGTCTTGAGCAAGTATCCGCAGTTATTAGGTGATAGAACAAATTCTGCAAATACCTGGCTTTTCTGCAGTTACAAGGAAGTTAGATACCCGAGTGTCTTATTTTGCAGAATCATAGAATAATTTGGGTTGGAAGGGACCTTTAAAGCTCATCTAGTCCAAACCCCATTCAGTGTGCTGGGACATCTTCAACTAGATCAGGTTGCTCAGACCTCTGTTCCCAGGTATGGAGTATCTACCACCTCTCTAGCCATCATGTTCCTGTGTTTCACACACTCACTGTAAAACATTTATTCACCATACCTGGTCTACTCTCTGTTAGTTTAAGACCATTAACACATGTCCTGTCACAACAGGTCCTGCTAAAAGATTAGTCCCTGAACACCACCTTGAAACCTTGAACACAACCATTTCTGCCACCTCCTTGAAAACTGGAGGATTGATAATTGTTTCGTGTAATGTCTGCCAGTGTAATTATTTCTCAATTTCTGATTTAAAAATATTGGCAGTTTTAAAAATGCTCTGATCAAGTACTTTTGAAATGGAAATGGAAATTAATTCAATATAAATTAATGCTCACTTTCCAGTTATATCCATAGTGAAACATGGTAATATATGAAACAAGGTTGTATGTCTCAGAAGCTTAAGTAAGAATTCACTGCATTATTAATATTAATTACTAGTTTTAGAAATTACTAGGTAAGAGTTACAGGAGATACAAACCACCATTTTCTTGGTTTTAAAGATTGCTAAATATGGACACTTTGTTTAGCTGGGGAGTATATAAAAATGTGGTCCCATTTAAACAATATTAACTTTGACAAACTTCCCGCTGAAATACAGTGAGATATTTATGAGGGTGAAAGCAACAAAATTACCTATTGAGAGATAGCAATATAGAGAGATAGTAACTCCTGTGAAAATGTGTAGCATAAAAATGACCATGCTCAAATATTTGGCTTAAATGAGGAAATGTGCTCATTATTTAGTGCTGCTTTTAAAAACATCCACAGAAGACCAACTGTAGTGGAACAAATGGCACTGTTACAATTATTACCTGAAAATTATGGGCACAAATGGAGCTTTCTGATGCACTGTCAGTTCTGTCATATCTATGTCATGGATTTACCCAGAGAATTATTAAGTACGTCTCATTTTCATTAGTTTTGTATAATTATTTCATTATAGCAATAAGACATAATAGACGTTGCATTTCCTGGAAGATTACAGCATAACCTGGTTGAAAGAACTTACTCAGCCTTCAGTCTAATGCCTCAAAAATCACACTGGCCTAGCAGTAATACTGGAGTGCCTCAGGGTATTATTTTTCCTACTCATTGTGGCATAAACAAATGGCTAACTTACCACTCTGTTGCTAGCATACTGACTGAGCTTCAGCAAGGGTACCCATACATTTTAATGAGCTGGACAAAAAAGCACCCCACTCTTGAAAACCCAGCCATCCTGAAGCTAAAACCCTCACCTTCCTGTCATTCAAGGAGAAAACAATAAACTCAGTGATGCTGGTCTCAGAAGCGCTGAGAGGCGTAGAAAACTAGGCCAGTGCTCAGCTAGGACACCATTTTAGAGAGTACTGGAGCTAGATAGGATTTTATTAGTTCATATTCAAAAGCTCACGACACAGCCTTGTCAGTGCAAGTTCTGGTAGTTGGGACATTTGCTGTCATTTTTATAAGAAATAAAATGCGTCTTAGTCATGTATGCATTGTTTGCATACATTCCTGTTCATAGACCTGTAATCCCTTCCCTTCCCTTCCCTTCCCTTCCCTTCCCTTCCCTTCCCTTCCCTTCCCTTCCCTTTTGTTTGGGTTTTTTTTGGTTTTTTTTGTTTTGTTTTCTTGTGGTGGTGGTGATGGTGTTAATGAAAACCAGTGCAATAAAAGTCACTCTGATTCCATTTCTACAAAGATCACTTTTTTCTTTCCTTTCTCCTCTTCCTTCCTCAGAAAATTAGATAAATAATTTCTCCTTAGTGTAAAATGATATCCAGAGGTCAGTCTTTGACTTTGCTGAAGAGTCTTTTAAGGGGTGTATCAGCAATACCACTTAGCTCTTGTTGAATGAAATATAAATACAGCTTATACAAATAATATTATTAGAGAGAAAAATCACTGTCTGTGCAGCTTCAGATTTCTAACAGAGTCTAAGACCTGCAGGATTAATGGAGTCATGGTCCTTTGGGGTTTTGTCCCAGACCACACAGGTCTTGTAAGAGAATAAGGCTATTTTATATTGATGGACTTTGTTCATATTCAGTGCCATTACCTAGGCAATACCAATCGTTTATCTCCTTTAAAGTAGACAGAGATAGTTCAGCAGGAAATCTGTTATTATGTCTCTATTCCTAAGGGAAGGAAATGAAAGATAGGAATTCTCAGTTTGTTAATTGATGGCATGTTGTGAAAAAAATACAGTTATCTTCCCCCACACCCCTGCAAGTATTCTGAATAGATCTGGAATCAGATGAAAAATGAAGAATAATTGTTCAGATGGGAAGAAAAAAATATTCAGGAAATACTCAAGAATTAAACAGATTTTAAAATTTCATAAGAAGCTGTTTAATAGTTTTAGTCTCTATTTTTATATCTTGCTTTCATAATTCCTCAGAAGCTGGAATAAATACGGGAAATATAATACATTCTCAAAGAAAGATACTGTATTCTTCCTTAGAAGTCTTTGTGTATGTAGCATTTGTCATGCTTTGCAAAATAAAAAGCTTAAATCCTGATCTTCTCCAAAATGTGTATGTTCTTAGATTTACATAAACATCTACAGGACTACATGCACAAGAAGAATGTGCTGAGTGTGTATTTTATCCTTTATAGTCAGGATATGAGTAACTGTTTAAATCAGGGGGTGTGTATTGGAAAGATGCTATGAGGAAAGCATGAAGAAAGTATCTGTCTAAACTGAAACTTGAGAGTGCACTACCACACTGAAACACATTTAATTTCTATTTTGTACGTAAGTTCGGTGATGATCATTTAGCTCTTGAGTGGAATGATTATTCTTTACTTTATACAGTTGCTTGTATCATATGTGTTACATACTGCAGTATTTGAAGTCCTAAAATGAAAGATGAAGAGCTGCACAAGGATTTATAAAGACTTCAATTAATCTCATTTTAAAGACTTGAAATTGTTTGCCTCATTAAAGTCTTTAAGTAGCTGGAATGGAGGGAAATGTACTTTTTTCTGAGAACAGCTAAACCAAAAGGCTGGAATGGTTGGAAACCAGGGTTAAATGCCAGTTTGGATTTTCTTTCCTGACTTCAGTGCATCCTGGAAACCTTGGATGAAGAATATTTCAGGATTTATTTCTGATAAATCAGACTATAAAACTAAGCCCTAATGGGCAGTCTTCCAGTTTGTTTTTTCAGTCCCAAGGAAATCACGCAAATTTTTCTCGAAGTAAAAGCAGGATTAGGCTTAAGGTGGTCTTAGCTGTTCTTGAAGAAGAGTCCATATTAAGCTGATATGGCTGGTTTTTAAAAGCATTTTTGGATCTTTGTTAGCATGATTTATCTGTTTTCTGTTTGGTAGACGAAGACAGCAAAAATCACTAAACTGCGGCAGCTGAGTAGTCCTTATGTTCTCACTGGACTGCTGTTAGAGAAACAAAGTTCTGAATCCAGAGCCTGGCAGGAAAACTTAAAATTATTTGTTTTTCAAGTATTTCATGTTAGCGCATAAATGCATTAAACCACAACAGCCCAGCTGATTGCAGAATCCCAGAATGGGTTGGTTTGGATGGCACCTCTGGAGCTCATCTAATCCCCTACTCAAACCTTTGCTCAAGCACACCCACCTGCAGCCAGTTGCCCAGAACTGTGTCCAGCTGAGTTTTGAGTATCCCCAAGGATGCAGCCCCTCCTCCTATGCAGGTGCCCTGTTCGTTCATCATCTCCATGAGCATTTACTGCACTTGCTCCTGGGAGTCCGTGTCTGTCTTCTGTTGAGGAGTCTGTGACTGCACCCATCTCTGCAGGTGTGGCCTCACCAGTTCAGAGTGGTGTGGAA